GAAAGTTTAGCTCTTTGTCATGCATATTAATGTTTGAGGATGTAAAAGTAGAGATTCAGTAACAGTGTATACGTTATTTTTACTTGTATGTACGCCTTAATAGTGTTATTACTTTTTAAGTGGGTAGATGCTTCAGGAGTATGTAGTTTTCATCATGAGAATTAAGCTCTCTCTGTATATATGTATCGCCCCAAAAATCTTCAGAGGAAATTTTGAATGTATTGTGTCTAGTAAATTACCATAGATTTACAATAACATTTGGCTTGTTTTAAAGTTTAGCCTATGGTGCTATTGACACTCTGATGTCATCTCAGGCCAATCTTTAGTAGAAATTGTTTCTCTTGAGATATAATGAGGACGAATTCAAAATATGTTTGAGGAAATCTCACAGAGTTATTTTGCTGAACAAATGGTGAAGTTCAGGCTAGGAAATTAATGTGTCAGTTATCATAAATGCTGAATTTGGTTCAATGTTCAGTATTTCATTTGCTAAACAATAGAGTGGGACATTTGTCCTCTTTGTCAGTTGTTGTGTATGGACAAAGATTTGAATATAATAGACCCACTTTTTGATATCTAGAACATTTCAACTAGTACAATTATTTGATGAGTTTACAATATAAACAATTTTGTTCTTATAGAATTATTTGAAAAATTAATGGTATAGGCTCTCTGCATTCAAACATTAAATAGCTTTGATTTCTAGTTGTTGCCTTCTTAATATGCAACATTTTAATATCTACATGGGAAAACAAAACTTATAGGACATTTTTTTCTTTTATTTTTTGTTTAGAAAAAAGCAAAACAGAAAAAAGGGTGGAGATGGTACAGAATTTCCAAAAAAAAGTAAGAAATTACTAGTTGATAAATTAAGAAAGTTAATGTATTTTTTTAATTAATGAAGTTTATTGGTACATTTTAAAGCTTATAAAAATTTTTTTATAGCAGCACAGTTTTTTTATTTAAAGAAAAACAGAAAAAGGGTAGAAATAATACATAATTTCAAAAAAAACAGTAAGAAATCACTAGTTGATAATTATGTATTATCCTCTTACAAATAGTTGTTCAAGTTACAAAAGTGAAGCATACAAAGTGGACATTCAAACAGCAAGATTGCAAACAGTTCTGTTCAACTATCCAACAAAAAGTAATATGGTTATTAATCCTGCACACCTAAACATACATGCAGTTATATCCTTTAGAGCACTTTCTATTCCTTTTTTACAACAGCACTGCACATTTTGGGTTTTATTACTCCTACATTTCTTATTACTTTTTATACTAGAGGCACAATGTGATATTTATAAATATGATTCTTGTTTGTTTCACTAATGAGGATAGCCTTGAGTTGTCTCCATTTGCCTATGAAGGCCTCAAAATCATCTTTTTTATAGCTGAGTAATATTCCATTGTATAAAAATACCACATCTTTTTTATTCACTCTGTGGTTGATGGGCATCTTGGTTGTTTCCAAGATTTAGCTATTACAAATTGTGTTGCTATGAACATGGGTGCACATATATCTCTGTGATCTGACCTTCTCAGTTTTTCTGGGAAAATACCTAGGAGGTGAATAGCTGGGGTGAATGTAACTTCCAATCCTAGTCTTTTGAGAATTCTCCATACTGATTTCCATAGTGATTGCACCAGTCTACACTGCCACCAACAGTGGAGCAGTGTTGCTTTTTCCCCCGCAGCCTCACCAACATTTGTTATCAGTTGATTTCTTGATGGTCCCATTCTTTTGGAGTGAGATGAAATCTCAATGCTGTTTTAATTTGTATTTCTTGAATGACCAGTGATGGTGAACATTTCTTCATGTATTTATTTTCCATTTGTGTATCTTCATCTGAGAACTTGTGTTCATCTCAGATGCCCATTTTTGGAGAGGTTCTTTGAATTTTGGGGGCTTGATGTTTTTTAATTCTTTATGTTCTGAATATAAGTCCTTTGTTTGAGGGGTTGCTGGCTATAATTATTTTCCATTCTGTGGGTTTTCTTTTTACTCTATTGGTGATTTCTTTTGAAATGCAGAAACTTTTCAATAATATGAGATCCCAGTTGTTGATTCAATGAAGTGTTTCCCGTGCAGTTTGAGTTTTGTTCATGAATTCTCTGCCTACCCCAATGTCTTACTGGTACATTTTAGATATTAATGCATTTTTAGAAAATAAAATGTAGCTCCATCTGAGATCACATTTTATTTTCTAAAAATGCATTAATATCTAAAATGTGCTAATAAATTTTAATTAAAAATACATTAATGTTCTCTTTTTTTCCCACCTCTTCTCTCTCTCTCTCTCTCTCTCTCTCTCTCTCTCTCTCTCTCTCTCTGACTATTTCTCATTTGGGAATGGTTTTGGCAAACTTTGTTTCAAATTACAGGATTTTTTTATTTTCAATATCTATAATTTATTAAAGTGCTAGGTGCCTTTTCACAAATATTAATTGGACTTATCTGAGTCCTACTGTGAATGTTGGTTGCTAAGACAGATATTTTAATAGTCTCACTAATTTATGTATTCACTTCTTATGCTCTAAACATGTATTGATTGTTGTGCATGTACTAAGCATTCAGTGTCCAGCACTGCAAGGGTTTTCCAATACAATATGATTTCATTTCTGACCAGTATAGCATAGGGACCAAAGCAATTTAAAGAAGTAAAAGAAACTTTAGCAAGATTAGGTACTGTTGGGGAAATTCGATTGAATTGCATCAGATGATGATACCAGTTCCATGATTCAGTGTCAATGAATGCTCAGAGGCATTTTTGCCTTCCAGTGAATGAGTTACCAGAGATATTTTTCCATTCATTTACATAATTTTGATGAAAACTTACCTCATTAAAATAATTTCATACAACTATTCAATAATGTAAGTATATTTTTATGCATAAATATTTTACACAATTCAATGCAGGTTAAAACCAACATTAGCTATTCATAACCTGTACTTAATGTAACTTCATTTCTTTAAACTCTGACTCTAGTAGAACATAAATTTCTGAGTCACTCCGAATTTATTGTTTAAAATGACAATACCCTGCAGATGACACACAGGTGCTGGCTTCAGAGATGGAGACCAGCAATGGTCCTTGAAGGGATTTTCCTGCAGCCTTAGGGAGATCTTCATATTTGATTCTGTTTTTTAAACTTTCATTATTTAGAAAGTTTCAAAAAATTGAGTCACAACTTTTAAGGAGGGGAAGCCAACACATGGACCTTGTTTTAGTATTATGAGAACTGATTATGTTATGATCAGTATTAGCAGGAAAAAAGAAACAATGTAATTGATTCATAGAAATCATTCTAGGATGAACATTCTCTGACATACACCTTAGAAAACTCCTTTATGATTTTATTTACTTTCAGGGATTTAAGAAAATTATTTCTAATAATACAGTTTTTAAATTTATTCCATAATTTTTCAATGCACTTAAAACATTTGTCAGTAATTCTGATACAGTGGGTAAAATAAATAAATTGTAAACTGAAAGATGTCACTAGTTCCTTTAATAGTATCCATTTTAAAATAAATTCCTTCAGAGTTGGTAGCAGACTCAATAAATTTGAGGATTTTGTGTATTCTTTGAACTTTATTTTCATGGCTCACTATTTTCCCTCTCACATCAGACTGCCAAACCAAATGCCCGTTTTTTGAGTTGGGATATTCTTTTTGTGCCATAGTCCTTTGCCAGACTTTTCTATCTGTTTCATCTAGTCTGATTATTTCAATTCTGTCAAAATGTTTAAAGAACTAATGATTTGAAACACTACCCCTTCAAGAGGATGTATTAAACTTTGACAGTGATCCCCAATTCTTGAATCTGGGGATGTGATGATTGTATTTCTAAAATATAAAATCTCACAGGACTTGTTTCCCAATCTTCAGCTACAGTCACTATATGAAAAGTTGTATTTGTTAAGAAGTCACCTTCAGCAGTCCAAATAATGTCCCTTTACATACATTCACATTCAGCACCAAAAATTCCATGATCTGCCCATTGATTTTAGGCACGGAGACTTTGTCTTTCTACTGCTGTTAAAGAAAGCACGGAAAGCACTTGTTTCTTGTTGCAGACCTTCCTTCCTGATTTAGTTAGGAGCAGAAGATGCTAAAACCACCGCACATCATCTGTCTTCAACTTCTGTCAAGAGAGGAATGCATCTCAGAGATCATCTGGAGTGTGTCTACTTTGATAATGTAGAGCAGGGCAGTTCTAAAAATGAAGTCAGGACTGTTGTGCCCAGTATGAGCAGCTCATTCCATCACTGTTGTTTTTCCCTTGGAGCCTTGTGCCTTGTGTGGTGGTTTCTGTTTTTCAGAACAAGCTAAGTAGAACCATTCTGTTCCAGTGCCTTGGGAATGCTTGAATACACAGTCTGTGTTTTGGAGGATAACATTTAGCTCAAACAAAGAGCCTGTAGTCTGCAAGTGTAATGCTTGATGCATGGAGGGAGGATTAGCATCCATGGGAATTGAGCCTGAGAAATGGGCAAAAAATGCCACAGTCAGATAAAAAAAAAAAAAAGTGTCAATATTACGTTAAATTTCTAAATACAAAAACATACATTAGTATTATTAAAGTGGAGGCCTGATTTGCATTTATTTATTTATTTTTTGTTCTGTCTTTTTATTTTGGTACCAGGATCAAACTCAGACCTAGCGCTTGCCAGGCAAGAGCTTATGCAGCTGAGCTAAATCCTGGCCCTTTTTAATTTTTTAAAAATCACTACTATAATTTGAGGCAGCACCCACTTTACTTATAGGTACCTTCATTTAATCTTCAAATCAGAACACTGAAAAATACTTAACTAGGATAGATCCCAAAAGACAATGCACAAGTATACTAAAATCTTGGTACCTGTATATATAATGAAATTTTCCTTTGCCTCATCTTCTAAGGAGAAGACCCCAATGTTATTAGTAATTTTGTAATTTCCTTCACATGTTATGATTTAGTTTTATAGCTTGGTCTTTTTTTTTTTTCCCTTTTTAGATACTAGATCAATCGTGCACTGAAATCCTGGAATTGAGGCCTTCAAGTGTCTGTGTGGGGGGTAAGTGTTTGGAATTTAAAAATACCATGTAAGAAATTGTATTTTTTTCTAGCTAAAATATATGATTTGAAACTCATGTTGGAAAGAGAATAGCAAAATTAACTTTTTTGGCATCTTTTTTGTGTAAGAATTTTTAAATAATTCCTTGAAATATTTCTATTTTAAATTCAAATTTTTAAGATTGGAGTGTTATTTTAAATAATGAGCATATTGTGTGACAGGCTTTTAGAGTCTTCTATATATTTAGTTCACTTTTGAGACCTTTCTTACCACAAATAAAATAAAATATGAAATCCTTGATTGTGCAGACAGTCAGGTATCTGAAGACTGTGAGTGTCATGCTTTGATGACCTGGTCAATTGCGGAATCTGCCGGCTTGGGGTGTAGGAGGAAGTGACTTTCAGGCAAATGGCAGGAAGGAAGTGGGTGGCTTCATCAGCTGCTGCTCAGCACAGACTCAGATTTTTACTCCTCCCAATTACCCTTGCCTGGAGATGATCTGATTCTCTCTGGCTCCTGTCTTTTCTTCTTCAAGTCTGACCTCAAGTTTGTTTTAGCCTGACTTTACTTACAGTAGGATTCTAGTAGGGAAGGAAGTACATGTTGTAATTTGCCACAGACTCTCGCATGGTCTTTGGTTCTGCATGTTGTATGCTCCTTAATGAGCGGGCATCAAGGCATTGCAGGGCAAGGGTATCTTTTGCAAAGGTTTAGAGTAATACATTTCTGAATATCATAGAAAAAATAAATGGAAAAATAAACTTCTGTGATTTTGCATGAATTTCATATAATCCTTCTAGTAACACTGTTTTATGATTTTATAATTCCTGGTTCCGAAATGGGGAAAATGGAGACAGAGCCAGGTTTAGTGGTTGCTGTTAGTAACTGTTCTATTAGATGTTTATCAGTCTGACACTAATGCCTATGCTCTTACCAAATCTCATTTTAGATTTTATCTTTACCTTATTTTAACTAGTAAGTAAACTTTCTTTACTAAAGCACACTAAATGAAACGAGTGGCCTTGTAGTAATAACTAAATATGCATTGGGTTCTGTTAGACTGAGCAGTTTGAGAAAACTGAGGTTGCTGAAGTGATTTAAAATGGAAATGAGGCCTGAAGAATTCGTGTGTAGAAAAAGCCGGTTAGGCCTCATGAATGCGTGCTCTTGGCTTGGTTTGCAAACTCAGGGAACCTTAAGGAAATATTTCTTGTAGATGAGTATACTAAAGACAAACAGAATCAATGTTCAACCAATCACAACCAATATATTTATGATTACATAAGTTGGAACTTCACAGTGGTACAAGCCAAATAAGACACTGTAAAACTCTTAACAAATTGGATATTTTCCTTGCTTAACTTTGATGTCTATGCTATCCAAACCTATGCCTTCAGTCCTGTGGTAGAGTTCTGGAGATAATTCTAGTGAATTTGAGCAGCCCAATTCAGATATCATACATAACTCAGAAACTTTGAACATTGTATTGTGCCTTGGTTCACCTATTTATTAAAAGTTAATTTCTTTAAAAGTAGTCAACATATACTCTCATAGTTGAGAAGCAAACATTTACCACCCATCAAGGCATTTGGTCTGTTAACTTTTGTTCTAGCATATACTTTTACTTTTTAATTTAAGAGCATGTTCCTAATATGAATACCAGAAATTCAGTCAATTTCTAGGCACTGATTGCACATTATTAGTAATCCAAAATGTATGATCTCTGATGATTTTGTAAGTTTATAAGGATTAGAAAAGGAAGTCAGGATTAGCAAGGTGAAGAAGCTGTTGAAGAACTCTATATGAGACACAAAAGAAAATAATATGACTCTTTGAAAAATTCTAGAACATAAAGAATTAGTCCTCTTTACATACCCAAACCAAAATACTTGAAAATAGAGAAAAATAAACAGGGTTTTTTCTTGATATTTTTGTAAGGATATCTTCTGAGGAATTTTATATGGCATCTGTTTGGGAGAATGTTATGCTTTAATCCTAATAACTTGATTACTATTGTAAAATAATCTGTGTAGAAAAAAATAATACATTTTAATGTGACAATGAATGGTATCTTCACATTTACCCAGAGGGTCAAAGGGAGCAAGCACAGTTGGACATATAGAGCTATGTCTTTATTGTTGAGAGCTAAGTACTATGAAGAAATGTATTCTGTGTACTTTGATACTTTCACCTCTAGTAAAGATTTTTAAAAAAATTCTAGTGTAAGAGTGATTAAAATGTTTATATTTTCTTTTGCTTCTAGAGGAATTTCAAGTTGTTCTGAGTGGAAGAGGATTCATGTTGGGCAGTCGGAATGGCACTGCACTCTGTACATTCACTGTGAACGAAACGTACACAAAGAGTAGGTGCCCGGCATTCACAATGTCACTTTAACGTCTCACAGCACATGGGCTGTGTCTTCTCTTTTTCCCAGCTAAGATCAGATATGCTACAGTGTTCAACCAGAAAATAAAGCCTCTAATGATAAGACAAATAGTAGTAATTCATTCCACATTTTTATTAGTGTATATCATTTATGCAGATTAATGGGCCTCAGTTTAGGAGATTTGTGTATGAACATAACTTGCTTTAGTCATCATCTCCCATAAGCTCCTTTGGCCCACTTTCCATCCTAGTTTCATGTGTCTTTTGGTGTTATTGTTGGAGGAGTGTCCATATGTATAATGTATTTTGATCGTATCCATGCTCCCTTGTATACCCTTCTTCCTCCCCTTTCTTCCATCCTGCTTGTCTAGTGATGGTCTCCCTTCTATTTTCTTAACATTTTCTTTAGAGCCCACAGGTGCAGTATTTGTTTTAGTCTTGCCTATTTTGTTTACCATGATCTCTACATGAATGGTTAAAGAAAATGTAGATATATACAATGGAGTGTTATTGAGGCATAAAAAAGAAAAAAATTTTGTCATTTGCAGGAAAAGCAGATGGATCTGGGGATCATCAGTTTGAACAAAATAAACCAGGCTAATAATTATTTAGTAATAGTGTTTATTCATAATTTGGAGAATGGTGAACTGTGTCATTAGTAGCTTCTTTACGCAGATGATAGTTGTGGTTGAAAGAATGGAATAATTTGCCCATAATGACACAGCTAATAATGAGTAGAGCAGATAGCTCAATCCAGTTTCAATTCACCACTGTATATGGTCTGTGCACACCAGGTACCTATTTGAACTCTCTCTTTCCAAGACGTGTTTTTTTGCCACTTTTGCCTTAAAATCTAATTATCTTCTACTGCTCTACCATCTATTACTTTATTTTTTCTTTTGCTTCATCTAATTTAACAGTAATTTGTCAGTTTTTCAAATTTTATTTTATTTTGCTGTATAGCACTTTTGTATTTTGAATGTTCACTCAGCATAGTGTTTGTTAATAGTTATCGTACTAAATGAATCCTTTTTTTCTGAGCATTATTAATCCACTTTTTCTCCTTTAGTGATTGTATTTTCCTCTAAAGATTTACTTTGTAACGCAGATTCCATAACTCTGTGAACTCTAGTAGAGTTCTGAGAGATTCGTCTGCAATTTTGCCATTTATCTGATGGTGTTAAACACTCCAGTTGTCCCAGCTTTGGCCACATACATAGCACTTGTCCAATATGTGGTTGCTAAATTAAAGTAGTGAAATTTGCAGCATGGAAAATATGATAATCAGCCCTTCTCTTGTTAAAATTACCATTTTGGTAAAGCAAAACAATGTCTTAATAATTGTAACAATTGTAATAATTGTAACAATTTCTTCATAATAGATTCCACATAGAATAGAACAAACTAATTTTATTTTTATTCAGTAATTATTTTCATCTATTTGGTAGCTTTATCTAATTTCTTTTGATTACATATTTGAATGAATTATGTTAATTATAATATAAACATTTTTATACTTAGCTAAGCAAAATTTAGTTTATTAAAGCAAATCCAAAAAACATAAGTGCAGTTAGAATCGAATTTTCTTAATTCATATTCTCAGATAATTATTTTGATTGCATAACTTTCTGAATGAACATAGAGTACATCATTTTTCTCATCTATTAAAATTAAAAGTGCAATTGAAGAGCTGAGTTCAAAAATAAATTTATTGTACATACAAATATTTCATTAAACTTATGAAATAAGTTTATTTTCCTTTTTCCATCTTTTCTGCTAAAATTATGTTGTGAATGAAAATTGTGTGAGATATATAGAAGCCTTTATTAATTCAATGGTATTCTATTTTTAGGTGTAAGACCAGTAAGTGTACAGCTGAATTCAATGCTTTGTCCTGCACCCATCTTGAATAAAGCTGGAGAGTAAGTACTTCACTGAAAACAGTTTAAAAACATTTTAGGAGCAAATTATTAGAAAATAATGATAAGCACACTTTTTTAAATGTAAAGATCAAATATTAAACAGTAAGCCTTACTGTAGCTATTCTAGTTAGTACAATTATACTGATTGAAAATGTTAATGCATGTTTTATCTTGCTTCCAAATATTGTTTAGAAAATGCTGTAAAGAACTGGATTAAACTCTGTTGTTAAAACCTACACAGCTATTATTTTGAACTTTAGGGAGTTGAATGTAAACATTCTAAAGTGAAATTTTGAGTAATTTAATAAATTTTAAGATATTATATTTAATAAATATTAAGGAATGATTGGAACATGATTTATTATTGTACACTTTGGACTATGAAATATTTATACGTTTTTAGTAATTTGCATTCTAATTTTGCTCTTTTTTTTTTTTTTTTTTGTCTTTTTCATTTTTTATCGGTACCAGGGATCGAACTCACGACTGCCTGCTTGCAAGGCAGGCGCTTATGCCGCTGAGCTAAACCCCCAGCCCCTGCTCTGTTTTTGTTAAGGGCTATACACATATTTTTTCATGTGGCAGTATACTCTCATGATAGCTGATTCAGCTATTTAATCTGGAAGAAAGTATAATTTTGAAGTGAATAAAACCAAATGAAATAAAATAGGATGGAATCAAGCAAAACAATGAACATGGTACATGACTTCAAAACAAGATAAAAGGAAATCAATAATGACTACCAACTGCCCATACCATCAGGCATAATAAAATCAAACAAAATAGTACAGAATTAAACCAATAAAAACAAAGCAGCGGAAGCAATACAGAACTTTAGAAGAAGATAATAGTTAAGCAGCAATAGCTACCGTAATACCTCTTGTTATCTTCAAAGTAGTGGCCTATATTATCAGACATGATACAATCAAAACAAAATAAAATAAAATCTATCAAAATAATTCAGAGCTTCAAAACAAGATAATAAGAAAATAAATAAAGGTTACCATAGTATATTTTGTTATCTTTGAAATAGTTGTTCTTGCCATTGAATATAATAAAGTCAGATAAACCAAAACAGAATAAAACCAAACCAAACAGAAAAATGAAAACAATATGGGTTTCAAATCACGATAATAGATTTACAAAGGCCACCGCTTTCCCTTTTTAGATGCTTCCTCCTCCTTCACTTTCACAATATGTATTGTGTATTTTGGATCCCACTAACTCCTTTAGCTTTTATAATAGGGAGGCAACACAATATTCACCCATGTGACTCTGAACCATTTTATCCATGAGCATGATCTTAAGTTTTATCCATTTACCTACAAGAGCCTTGAAGTTTTCTTTATAGCTGAGTAGCCTTCCATTACATAAAAATGCCCTGTCTTTTTTATCCACTGTGCAACTGATGAGCAAGCTACTTCCACTTCTTTTGGCTCCTTGTCACATGGAGCATTGTTTTCTCTCTTTTGACTTTTAGTCTATGAATTTCCTTTTGAATTAAATGTTTTTCTTGTATAAAGCATATTGATGGATCCTGTTTGCTAATCCACTCCGCCTGTCTTTCTTTTTATTGGTGAATTGAGGCCGTCTGCACTAATGGTTATGGCCAGTATGCACTGGCTTGTTTCTGCCTTGATGTTTTCCTGCTGTTGGCTGCCTACTTTTCGCTTCCATTCAATTTTCTGCCCTGCTCAGTGATCCCCCTCTGCCGCTGTTCTGGAACCGTGGTCTTTTTTATTTCTCTCTCAAATGTCCTTCAGTATTCTTTGTAGGGTTGGTTTGGTGGTCATGAATTCTTCAGTTGTTCTTTATCATGAAAGTATCTTGTTTCTCCTCTAATTTTGAAAGATAGTTTTACAGAGTACGTCACTTTGGGTTGGAAGTAGTTTTCTTTCAGGACTTGAAATACTTCGCTCCAAGCTCTTCTTGACTTGATGGTTTGTATTGAGAAGTCTGTCGTGATTCTGATGGGTTTCCTTTATAGATGATCTGTTTCTTTTCTCTAAGGCTTTTTTTTTTTTGGTACTGGGGATTGAACTCATGACCTCTCATTTGCCAGGCAGGCATTTCAGCCACTGAGCTAAATCCCTGGCCCCTTCTCTAACATCTTTTAGTATTCTGTTTTGTTGATTTTCTGGGATCTTTATTATATGTCTAGATGTAGATTTATTTTGGTTATGGCTATCTGGAGTTCTGTGTGCCTCATTTATCTGAATGTCACATCATTTTCCCATGCTCAGAAAGTTTTCTGATAATATTTCTGTAAATAGACTTTTAATGTCATTTGTGCTGACCCTTGCTTTTTCATTCACACTTACTATTCTTAAGTTATGTTTCTTTGGGTTGTCTTGCAGTTGTGAAATTGTTACTTCCTGGTTCCTTGTTATTTTTAAGAGAGCTTTCCTTTTGGAATCGCAAGCTGCAAACTTTAAGGTTTGAAACTCTACATTCTCTTTCAAGTGGTTTTGCCAGCTTTCAATGGAGTTTTTAATTTCTTGGATGTCTCTTTGAATCTGTTTCATATATTATAAACTTTTTACATTGCTCATTCAAGGTTTCCCTCTTTTTTCTATGCTCCTCTAATTTTTGTATCTATGTCTTCTTTAGAGGTGTTCAGCAATTATTTTATTAAGCTTTTTATTTCTTCTTTTACTTGAGATAGTATTTCTGTTCTAATTGCTTTTATAGCCTATGAAGTTGTTTCTTTACTTCAGTTGCCATCATTTCATAAACTTCAGGTGTGCAACTCCCAATCTTTGTTGTGTTCACATCTCCTGGACTTACTCTGCTTGGGTTGAAGGCCAGAGACTACCTTTTGTGTCTTTGTCTTGACATCTTCCGGAGAAGTGGATAGTGGGGTCCCATGTCCTTTCCGCTTTGACTATAATTTCTGTGAAGTGAGACTGTTTTGTTCTTTTAGCTAGTGCTGGCTACAGGTATCTGACGGTGGCCACTGGGTGCGCTGGTGCAGGGCTGTGTGCTGCTTTTCCCAGCCTGCACTTGCTCCCCGATGGCTGGTGGAGTGCATGTGTGTGTGCGGGGTGGTGGGGGCAGCCACCACTTCTGGACTGAGCTGGTCACTGACAGGGGGCTCCTACGATGGCGATGGCAGTTGGCGTGTGTGTGAGGATGGGGCCAGCCACTGCCTGCAGATTGAGCTGGCTACCTGAGGAGAATCTCTGCCATGGCCTCTGGAACACATGTGGGGGCAGGGCTCAGCTTGAGAAATTTCTGCTGGTCTGCACCCAGCTAGGAGCTGTTAGAGGAAGCTGGCAGCAGCTTTAGTTTTGGGTTTAGTCAGCCCAACTCCAAAATGATTCCAGCCAATCACTGTCTCTTGTGGGAGGAGTGAGTTCTCTGCAATTACTGCCAGCCAGTGTAGTCCTGCATCTGCTGCTCCCCTCCACAGCTGCATCTCTTTGCAGAAGCCTCTGGGGTTGCCAGCCACCACTATCAATGTAATCTTCAGTCCCCAGATTCCAACAGCTTCTCTCACAGCTCAAGGTGAAGGCGCTGCCAGCTACCACCTTCTTTTTCGTTTTTTTTTTTTTACTCTCTCTGTGGGCATCATTTCTCAGTTTAGATTCTTCCTAGGCCCAGGAGACCCACTTCATTCCTTATGAAGCTATATTCCAGCGTCTGGACTGAGTCTCTCAGAGAGGCTGTTTACTCTGCTGTTTACTGATCCACCATCTTCTTGGAAGCCCCCAGGGCTTTTATTTAAATCACAAATAATTTTATCAATAACTTGTCTTCATTTGTGATTTTTTCCTGTCTTCTCTGTTATCAAAAAAAAAATGATTGCAAATATTTCAGGTTGTCGAGTCTTAAGACTAGTAAATTTCACTTGTTTAGAATAATAAATTTATACAGTTTTGTAGGATGACTTCACACTCATCATTTCTGGAGAGCAGAGAAAAATTAAATATGTGAGGACACAATCCAAAATATGAATCCGTATTTTGAGAAAGAACTTATTTCTTCTGGGGAATCCTAGAGAATTATGTTAATATTCTAAAATTGACTTGAACTTTTGTAAGTGCTTAAATGTTCAAAGTATCTGCTGGGAAATGTTTCTGGCCATGCCAATAAATTGGAGCAGCATCAGCTTTCTATTTTAAGTAGATCAAAAGGGCCTGTGTAATATAACTTACAAAAATTAAGGCTATTATTCATTTTCTGTATCATCTATAATGTAGTTCTAATGAAAGCATGTCCCCGGCAGAATAAGACTGGCACTGGAATTGGAAACAGGTCGATTTTGCGTGGAGCGATCTTGACCTAAGTTTACAGTAATATTCAATGACTTTCTTTTGTTAGCTGTGACAAATTTGTTGGAGTTTGGTCTTGTTTTATTGAGTTTGTAATCGCTTTCCTTATCATTTCCCTAATCTCCACAAGCTTACTTTTCTATTTTAGTCATTGGCATCTCTATCCTTTTTGTCACTGACCTTTAAGTCATAATGTATTTCTCTCTCATATCTATCAAAAAATTTTCTCAGCTCTAATTTCAAAATATATCCATATTTCAATCTCAGCTCACTACTTCTGCCATGTTAGATCAAATTTCTGTCATCGCTTGCCTGGATGACTAGCCTGTCAGCTGATTTTCCTGCTTCTGTCTTTTGCAAGAGTGATCCTGTTAAAGAGATAGGTGTGAGTCACTCTTATGCTTAAAATTCTTGGTATTGAGTTCCTCGTCCCGCTTTGAGCAAAAGACAAACCTTTAGAGTGCTCTGCAAGATTCTACAGGGGCTGACTTCTCACTGCCTCCTAACCTTCCAGACTTCACCACTTACTGGCTCCTTTCTGCTCTGTCATGGTTACACTGGCCTCTTTGTACCTCCTTTGCCACATCAGCTCCCTGTTACTTCAGTGTAGCTCTTCTAGCTGTTCTGTTGGATTTCTCCTCCCTGATTGGCTTAGTCCCTTATCCTCGGCATGTCTGTTCTGAGGTCACCTCAGCTTCCTGTCACCCTGTATGATCAATCTGCTCC